AAAAAATTAATTTTTTCACTGCCCACTACCATATAACATGTAACCATTATCATGAGATAACCTCTACCCATGCATCCATCCCTCATGTGACCCAACACCTACCACTCAGAATTAGTTCTACCCCACCCCCAAGAACACCCTCTCCCTTAATGTTGATAGTACATCCAGCCGGATGCTTTCACATCTATTCCACTTGACCCGAGAAATGCGACCACGAGTGGCACTGGTATTGCCACCTGACGAGTACCTTGACAAGTTCGTGGAGAGACTCGAGGCGTAGGAACTTGCTCTCTGTCAGCAGCTGTTCTGGATGACACTCCTTGATGCATAGCTGCGCGTTCTTCATCGCCTGTTCATCCTCTGGCGTCGGCACCTAGGCAACGGTTACCACGGCGATCACAACGCTGCCCGTACAGTCACAGAATTAACTCGTACATATATATATGCCTGCGTGTGGACACTCGCAAATGCATGCGCGGACACATGCAAGCATGCATGTTTACTCACATAGGTACATAGGCAGTTAGGTAGTTAGGCCTAGCTCACAGTGAGGTAAGTAATATATGTAGCCTGTCAGATCAAAACATGCCGTAGGACTCAATTCGGACATTATGAGTTACTAGTTTTATCAGAAACACCATTCAATTCTGGTTATTTTGACACCAAGATCTTCTTCCTAGGTCACATGGTTAGGAAGTTATGAGCATTTGAGTAGTTGGAATCGGGCCGATTTTGGAAAACAAAGTTCAGAGTAATTAGGTCATGAAGTTAAAGTTTGTTTTCATTTGGCCTTCATTTGGACAAAAATCTGAAGAAAAAAAATCTTCCCATTGAGCTAGACACATGAATTTTTGCATGCACGTACCAGACATAATAACCATCCACTGTATGAAGTACGAAAATGGTAGCTTACAGTTAAGGTAAGTAATTCAGGTAATTAATTAGGGTAATTAAAACATTAATTATCTGGAATTTTTGGACATGCAAATAAACACATAAAGACACACTTTTGGCCGTTTTATTGATGTAACATCGAACATGGATAACTACTAAAGCTATTTATGACAAAAACAAAAAATCGGCTTTTTACTACTTTTAGGTGAAAAATCACCTATAACTCAGAATGAACATTGAAGTCCTACGGCATGTTTTGATCTGACAGGCTACATATAACCAGGAGTAGATAATAGGGAGGAGTGTGACATCAATAAACAAGGGAAATTCGTCATTTACTAGCCCTATAATACCTACGATTTACTAC